ATTCATTTTGCCTCTTCTGATCTTACAACTGTTCTCTGGAGTAAACACTCTGCTTGAGCTTCAAGAAGAGAGGAGCTACGGGAGCCTCTCTGAGCCTGTGCACCGGGGGCCAGATGTGCTTTGCCTTCCTAGCAAACCCCGTCCAGTCTGGAGCCCGGAGAACAGAGCTTCAGCTGCAGCTCACTTTGCTTTTCAGTTTAGATGAGAGATAACAGTGAAATAGTCCACTGAGGATAAATTCTTGTCAATGGATTTGCTTTTCCGTGGAAGTTTGCCTTTGTTCCCTAAGGACCACCATTATTAGGTGTGTGGTCCTGATGAGGGGTTCAGGTCAGCCTGTGGAGGAGCCTGGGGAATTCAAAACCACTTGGGGACTGGTGGCCCCTTCCACTTGGGGACCGGTGGCCCCTTCCACTTGGTGGAGGTGAGGGCACGGCTCTGTTAATGGCTGCCCCAGTGAAAGGCTGTTCTATTGGGCAGCAAGGGCTCTCAGCTGACACTGGGAGAACAGGACCAAGGGTGGGAAGACTCTTTTCCCACTTCAGCTTTCCCTCGTCTTCCTTTTCCCTCTTCCAGTGCCTAGGATCTGGCAGTTGATCTAAAGACCCAGAGTTGTTATCACAGTGCCATCATTGGTTGAAAACGGAATATAGTTACTATAAACAACATATGTTATTGAGCATTCTAATTCTAATAATCGTAATTATGTTAGAATACTTGCTATTAATATAATAACAACAATGATTGACCAGTTCTCTATTCCAGACCAATAATGTCACCTGAATGCACTCTTTGTTCAGGAAAAAAAAAAGAGAGAGGTAATTCAACATCCCTGGTGACAGTCATCAAAGCCAGTGTTGAAACTTATTCCAATGAATGAAGATACAAGATGCTGCTGGGTGGATGAAGAGCCACCTGGCAACCTCCCTCTTGGCTAACAAAAGGACCCTGTCTGCACCCTCCCACTCAAGGGTTGAAAAGAAGTGAAAACCCAAGGACTTGCAGAAGAATCACGGGGCCTGAGTCTCACCTTCATTCTAAGAGGGCGGGCCTGGGCCTGGAGGTCGAGGGGAGCTGCAGGCCCTGTGGCTGTGTTCCTCTCTTAGGTAGAACTGGGAGCCCTAAGACTGGACTTAACACTCACCCTCTATGACCACTTCTTGGGCATGGATTTCTCCTCTGTGCTTTCCAGCTTATTTCCACTTACAATTGTAGATCTTTAGAGATCATGTGGGCCAATAGTCCCATTTTACACATCTCTAAATACAGGTCTATAGATCTCTTACACACCTTCAGATCTCTCACAATGCCCTACGTGTGGGAAATGCTCTGGGAACTGGGTAATGCAGGATGAACGATCACATGTAGCAAAGCTTCGGAGTATCATGCTATGAATAAGCTTGTCCCCTGGTGTGGAGAGGGGACACTTGAGTCCAAGGGCTTCCAAAAATCACCTTTCAAATATGTAATTTTCTTTGTTACCCTTATTCTTGCTACTATCTCTTCTCTGAAACAAAAATGTAGGGAAAAAAAAAGACATAAAAAAAATTCTTGTGCCAGCCCTGATGGCCTAGTGGCTAGCGTTTGGGGCTCTCTGCTTTGGTGGCCTGGGTTGGGTTCCTGGGCACAGACACACACCACTCATCTGTCAGTTGCCATGCTGTGGTGGCGGCTCATAAAGGAGGACTAGAAAGACTTACAATTAGAATATACAGCTATGTACTGGGGCTTTGAGGAGAGGGAAAAAAAGAGGGAAGAAGATTGGCAACAGAAGTCAGCTCAGGGTGAATTTTTCCCAGCAAAAAATAATCTCTGCATTTCCATTAGCAGCCAGGGCTTTCTTTTAAGCTCTGAGGACAATGACCTCCTTCCACTAGCCAGAGTGGCTGGATGGGTCAAGAGTTCACAAACATTTATTTACTTCTTTTCCCTTGGCACATGCTCCAGGAAGATGTTGCTACAATCATCATTATGAAGTGGTCTACTTTGGCTTCTCCTTATGCAATATTCAAAATGGCCCTAGTATGGAGACGGATAGGATGGAACCTCCAAGCTTGAATCAGAAGCTCAGCCTTAGAACTTCCTTTTCTTAGAATAAATAAGCATCCAAGAAAAAGAGGGGCCGAAGTTAATTCCATTCAATAATACAATAAGGGAGGCATGACGATTCCAAGTTACCCAGGAGCCTCTCACTCCAATGGCCTGCCAGGCTCGCCATAAAATGGCTCATGTGAAATGGAAAGAATTGGAGGGCAGGAGGGGTAGCTTAGTCCTTCTCCACGTCCCTCCATCGGCCATTTCCTCCAGGCCTCTTCCTTTCCTGGGCCCTGGCACCAAGTCCTCTGAGGTGCTGTGGATCCCCAACAGGCTTTGCCAATGCCAGGTATAGATGGGGCTTTGTGCCCGGCTTGCCATCTGGGCACTTGAAGGCGTCATTTTTCTACAGGGATCCCTGAACTGTACTGGGAAACGTGTGGGCTCCTGCTTTATTCTCTTCTAGTTTTTTCCTCTTTCTGAGCAGCAGATGTAAGCTTCTTTTATGAGTTTAAAAGAAAGAAACTTGGGACAAGAGGGGAAAATAATAAAGAAAAAGCAGAAATTTGCAAACCTTCTAAGGTAATTAAACGATTAGTGGCCTTTGAAATCCACCAGATAGCTCAATTGTTTTCTGCTTTCATTTTCTTCTTGGGCCTTTCCACACATGAAACCTCTGTCAGATACACCAGTCTGCAAAGCTGGAGAGAGGCTGAAAACCTCTTTGTCAACGCTCCTATCAAGCAATTTGCAGATTTCAGAACAAAACAAGAAAAGGTTGCTTCCTGGGCCCTCTGCCTCTGGCCTTGGCGGGTCAACCAGCCCTTTTGCTCCTGACCCCACACCCCAAGATAAAAGCCCAAGATTGGAGGAGATTGTACAGCCTTTTATCAGGGTTTTCATGCCAAAGGAGTGCCCCTCGGCTGTCAGACCCATCCTCTGTCCTATTAGCTTTAGATCCATTTTGTCGTAGTCAGAGAACTGACATGTGAACATTAGATTCACACTCCCATGTAAAGCCAAGATATAACTTCTTTCCTCCTTTTCCCATAAAGGGATAATCTAGGTCTTGGTCTCTTTTCTGGATTACGAATCCAGAACAGCCATTTCCAGCCATAGACAGACGCCATTCAGAAAGAGGACCTCATGTCTGGAGACTTCCACAACCTCGTGAGCTGCAAGCAACTTGATGGGAGTGGAGACAAAGAGTTTTTCAGCCTCTCTCCACCTTTCCAGACTGATGTATCTAGCAGAGGTTTCACGTGTGGAGAGGCCCAAGAATAAAAGAAAGCAGAAACACTGAGCTGTCTGCTGGATTTCAAAGGCCCCCCGAATCATTTAATTACCCTGAAGGAAGTTTGTAAATTCCTGCTTTTTCTTTTTTGTTCACTGCTCTTGTCCCCCCAACTTTATCGGGATCATTCTCTCTCCTTGACCACCTCACCATTCCTTCCCTTTACCTCTAAAACGAATTGCTCTGCTCACTCTCCACCTGTAGAACTCCTGCTCAGCCGTCAGAGCCTGGGAAAACAGGATTTGGGGCCAGGATTTTCTCATTGCCAGGCACAGTTCAGTCATTTTCCCTCGGGGCGAGGAGAGCTTGGCGTTGCTAGTGGGTGTACATTGCTCTTCCTTTTGGCCTCAGAGACAAGACAGCTTTCCTCCCGCCATTAAGTGTTTGGCTAAAGTTAGGGTTCCTAGCGGGTAGAAGTCTGGGAGAACAGAGTGAGGGTACTGTGACGGGCCTCTCTTCTCATGATGCCCCTCCTGCCCCCCAAATGGCCCTTATGCTTCCTGTATGAGGACAGTGTCCTACTGTCACAGCTGTTTGCCACATGGTCATGGCACCTGTGTGGGTGTGTGAAGGGGGCTGGAAGGTACCCCCAAGACTGGGGGTACGTGTGAAGATGCTGGAGCCTGTCTGAGTCCAGCATTGTCTGAGTGCAGTAGGCTGGCAGCTCTGCCCCTGCTTTTAGTGGGGTCTAACCACTACTGCTTGTTTATCTATCTATCTATCTATCTATCTATCTATCTATCATCTATCTAATCTATCTATCTGACTGTCTATCTTATCTATCTATCTTTCTATTCTAAATAACAGCATTCTAAAGCAACAACTCTGTCAGAACTACTGTCCCAATGGTTGGAGTCACACAAGCACCATAATGTTTGAACAACAATAGACTTTTCCAAAAGTGTTTTTATGCCCATTACATTGAGATCCTTGCCCACAAACTGATATTCTAAGAGAGGTAACGCCACAGGCATAGGGTATTTCTATTATGGTGATGAATAGTTTTCAAGGATAAGAATAAAAGCTGGGAGGGAATACAAACACAGCGTCTTGGCCGTGGAGCCCAACTCTGCCTCCGTGATTCCCACGCTGGACTGTGCAGCAGATCGCAGAGCGCTGAGCCCCACCCAGACGTCCTCATTCTGTTGGTCTGGGGTGGAGCTGGAGACTTTGCATCTCTAACAAGTTCCCAAGTGATGCTGATGTGCTGGCTTGGGACCCACTCTGAGAACCACTGCTCTGGTTGGTAAGTTGACCATTCTTTCATTCTGATTCCTCTCTCCCTTTTGTTCAACTTGTCCTCTTTGATCTCAATTCTGCTCCGTGGACAGTGCTCCAAAGTACACTGTGTACTTTCCTGCTGTGTACTTACAATTATTTCTAGGACATACACACAAACACACACTCATCTTTCTGGAATTGCTCTAGAACTTGCAGGAATGCACCTTCATCTGTACCTGAGCCTTCAGGACTGCCCCAGAGCCCCCTAGCCCCAGTGCAGAGCTTTGCTTGTTTACTGCTCTCATGAAGTTGGCCATAGGGAGCCAGGGTTGGGGAGGGAGAGGCTGGTCCTGCAGGGTTTGTCTTTGTTCTCTCTTCTTTAGGGAAGGCCTGGCTGTGTGTCCCGTGCTCACAGCAAGCAGCACTCACCACTCTGGCTGCCGAGACCTACCTCAGGCAGCTTCACCCGGCCTTCCTGGAAGGAGCAGGTCTTGGGGTCATGGGTGCAGACGTGCCGGTATTTACACCAGTGGCAGCGGTATGGGCTCTCCACGCAAGACAGGCACCTGGGCACGGAGGAGGAAGAAGCACAAGTCATGGAACCTGCGTGAACCCAAAGCAGAGGGCTTAAGACTCTAGGGTCTGGCAAAATGTGTTTTAATATTAAGAGAAAGCCCCCCTCAAACACTCAGGAAGAGCAGACCTTACACAAATCCATCCCTTTCTCTCCCAGTCCTCAGGAAGCCAAGATCTTTGGCCTCCTCCCCCTCACTCAGGTAGTTGACAACCCTGGTACCACAGGGCCTAATCACGGTCTATCTCAAGATGGCGCCCTCTTTTGCCGAATTGGGAAACAGTGAGGTCTGGAGTCGAGGGGCTTGTCCAGAGTGCATGTGAGTCAGGGTAAACAAAGAAATTGAGTTTTAGTTCAAATTGACTCCAGGGTCTCAGCTGACAAGGATCCACATGGAGCCAGCCTGGCAGAGGAAGGCCCTGAGGCTGCTCTCTCGGTGCCATGAGCTCCCGCACAGTTGACCCCACTCTACACTTCACCCTTAGGAGACAAAGGCAACTTTATAAGAGTTCCTTCCCGCTTAAAAAACCACCATGGTTCTCTTCCTCCAAAGGGTGAAACCCAAATGCCTTGCCATGGAGGCTAAGCCCTTCACGGCGTCCAGGTCCGCTGTCCCCACAGGTGTTTGGCACTTCAGCCGTGAACAGGCCATGCTCTCCCCAAGCTGTTCTCCTACCAGCAGTGCCGTTCCCCCTTCCTCCACATGGCCTTCTCTTCTTCCTTCTTTGACCAATGGAGAGCTGGTCACAGTGGGCCCTTATCTCATTTATCCCTCTGTTTATGTCTCTGGGACAGGACTGGCCTTGTTGTACTGTATTTCACTTATTCACCATCCAGTTCATCCACCAGTCCACTAGGTCCTGACTCCTGGAGGGCAGGGATGGAGTCTTTGCTTCTTATTAATTTTTGATCCTCCCTGTCTAATGAGTAACACATTGCCTTGCACGTAGCAGATGCTTAAAATAATGTTATGGACAGAATGGAAACTTCACACAGGATTTCCTCTACCTCCTCTGCTTTCTTAGAGGGGCAAAATGGGAGTGAGGGATTAGGCCGCCTTGTGGTAAAGCCGTGGGAAGCTCTGTGGCAAGAAGCAGGAAGAGTATTCCAGTATTGAGGCAACTTGTTTTTGGCTGAGAGGTCTGGCTGCCTCTTACTTGGGACTGCAAAGAGAGCCAAGCTCTGGATTCCCAGCTGCCATATCCAGATAGCTAGACCCTGAAACTCCACCAGCCTAGAGCCCCAAAGTGTCTTTGGTTATGTCACCTAGCTTGCCCTGTGTGGAGAGGAAAACAGACAAGCCTATTAAAGCAAGCAGGGCTTTTTCAGAACAGGTCCTATGGTTCTTAAACTGTGCTCTATGGAACCCTGGGGGTTCCATGGAGCTTCTTTGGAGACTGTGTGAGAGATAGATATGTGGGGTTCCCAGACAGAGGGGTTCCAGGCCCCCTCAGTCCTCAACCAGAGCAGCTCCTCCTTCATCTATTTTGTATATTTGGCTTTCACACCTAATTTTGGTTGGAGAAAAGTTTCTATGTTGAAAAAAGGGCTTGTACCTTCTAAATCTGGTCCAACTGCATCATTTTAGAGAGGAAATTATAGTACAGTAACAGAAAACATGAGCAGTACCTAAACAGTGGGCCAGACGCGGCTCTAACTGCTGCCCTGGGACAGCTCTTCTGACCGTCACAGCCACCCCGCTGACTGAGCACGGCTGACGTGCAGGGGTGGCAACCAGTGGTGTCCCAGCCAATGACTGCTCTGCTGGGACAGAGCTCCTGCCATGGCAGCTGTTCAATATTTGGGTGATATCCCTGCAAGGAGGACTACTATTTCCCCATCTACAGAGGATGCTGGGGCACAGAATGGTGAAGTTTCCAGCTGGTCTGACCCCAGAGCTCGAGCCTCTGCCCTCTCTCACTCCCTTGGAAAGTGGATGCTTCAGTCAAACTAGGCCAGAGCCGGTGCTGGAGCCAGAGCCAGACCCCCAGGGCAGAGCCCCTCAGCCTGTACCTTCCTCCCTGTTCTGCCCCTCGCCAGCCTGGGTCCTGACCCAGCCTGTGGGAGGCTATGCAGAGCTGAGCATTCCGTGACTTGTTGGACTCCCGGCCCTTGCCTGGACCCACATGGGGGCTTCTCTCCCTCCTCAGATCCCTCGTCTCCCCCAGGTGCTGGCTGCTCTGTTCTGCAGGTGAGATGCACCCCTTCCCAACAGATGGTGGGAAGGGAATCAGGTTAGACAGATTTATGCCAGAGAAGATGTATGGGCTCCCCACCTGACAGGTTCTCACTCTGCTCATTCTAACCTCCTTCCATTGACCCTGCAGGCACCATGGAGGGGGCCTGTCTCCTTCTGGGGGTTAAGGAGGCCTCCTTATAGGGCCTCTAGATGGGTAACTCCTTGGGAACAGTGGTGAGGTCTTCTATCTCTGGATGAACCTTGAGCCCAGGAACAGGGAGCCGAGCGAGGCTGAGGGTACTTACGAGTTGTGGACGCTGCAGTTGTAGAAGACAAAGCTGGTGCTGGCGAAGGTCATGCCTGTCTCCTTCGACTTGAGCTGAAGCTGGACAACATGGTGGTCCCCTGCAGGGCAGAATCAGCCACAAGGTCAGCACGAAGGCCAAGGCCCCGTGTCGGGGTCCTACTGAGCGTAATGCACCCTGGGAAAGGGGATCTGGCTGCCTTGTGGGTGCTCTCAGCTCTAACAGGACTCTGATTCAGCAGAGCCCCTTCCCAGGAGAAGCCCAAGAGCAGCTGCAGACGGCAGATCTGGTCTATTCCTCCTTCCACACTCTATCCCTGGTGCTCACCCATCATTTGCTCACCACTTCCTGCCATGTACACACACACACACAAACATACACTCACAGGTGTTCAAAGGTGCATTGAAATGCATTACGTCCATGCCATATTCACAGAATCACACACACACATTGATTAGCTACCAGGGACAAATAGATGTGTAGACTCTCAGTGATGCTGCCACAAACTATGCAGGAGGCTTTGCATGTAAGTGTATGACTGTGCACACACGAGCTCATTCCTCATCCCTGTGCTGATGCTCCCTCCTTTGGCGGGCTCAGGGCTCACTGGGGCGGGCGTCCCTGGAATCCTCAGCTGGCGCCAGGGAGGAGCCGGAGCACATGTTTAATTCACAGCCCTGACCCCAGGCTCCCACTTCCAGCCTTGTTCTGTGCCTTCCCCGAGAGCCTCATTAATCAATCAGCTCCAAACAAATGTGACAAGCCCAAATGGGAGGGCCAACATGGAATCAATCTGCCTGGGCTGGGCTTGTCCCTCGCCAGCATTGGGCCTCTCTCCACCCCTGTCCTTCTCAGTGCAGTTGGCCACAAATAGACAGCTCTAGGGAGGCAGGGCTGGGTGGGGTTGGGGCGGCAGTGATCCAGGGTCAGGGACCCAGCAGTGCAGACAGGGGGTGAGGAGCCAGATGACCCCCAGCATCCCCATCCCTGTTCCTGACTAGCTTCCCCTCCTCCACTGTGCCTCCCTGCTGGCCCTCTAACGCTCTGGGACAATCTCTGAACTTGACTGACCAACACACTCTGATGCTGTTTGGCCCTGCCCTCTACCCACCCTCTCTGCAGCTGCTCCTCGTCCAGGATGAGGTTGACTCTTGGATGCTCACCTGCAACAGTCAATTCCAAGGGCAGCAGAGGGACACTTCATCCCTCTCTTCTTATAACGTACCCATCAACTCACACTGCTTCCTCTGACCCTCCCCTGCCTGTTGGCTCCCTCAATCCCCCCACATCTTTCCTGAGTTCTCCAAACCCAGCTTTGCCTCTGGGGACTGCTCACCATTCTCTGTGATAATCCGAGGTACCTCCTTGGCTGCCGGGGAGTAGCACTGGATCTGATTGCCTATCACCAGCCCATCCATCTCTGACAGGTCCTCAAAGGTGCAGTTGACGCCAGCTGTCAGCTCTGGGACATTGTATGTCTCCAGGACCAGCTGTGAGCAGCCCGGCATGGGGAGAGAGAGGAGGAGAGCAAAATGGGAAAAGGAAGGGTGTGGAAGAAAGGAAGAAAGAGGGAGTGCAAGAGAGATCAGAGAGAAAGAAAAGAAAGAAAAACACGAGACAATGTTAACATAGAGAAGAAGAGACCCATTTATTATAAGAGCCTACAGAGAAGGCAGAGGGATTAGAGAAATAAAGACAAAAGAAACTTCACTAGAATCTGAATGGATTTGGTCCTAGGAAACAGAATATTTAGGGGCTTGGAACATAGAAAGAAAGGCGGGCAGGACCGAGGAACTGCTGGTCAAGCTCCTCGTCCGCTGTTTCCCAATTTTGGAAAATGACGCCACCAGCCAAAGTGCCCAGTGCAAGACCGTGGAAACCATCCTTCCCGTCTCCCTCTGCACATGCATCTCTCCCATCTCAGAGACGAAGTGGTCATTCCCCCACCCTCCCTCTCCCAGGCACCCTTTCGATCATTTTGGGTATCACGGGTTTCCCTGTCTTTCCACCCATTATGCATAGAGGTTCTTCCCCAATATTCCTGTGAATGTTCCCCTCTTCCATGCCCAGGGACACATTCTTTAGTCCCCCCGGCCTGCTCTAGAACTGCTTGGCAGGCCAGGCTTGGGCCAGCCTTCTTGAGGGGCCTTGAGCTGTAGCCCTTTCTGGTGAGTAGAGGGTTCTTCCCACATCCCTGGATCCCAGTTCCACCGTCCTTACCAGAACATTGTACTGAGAAACGGAGATGTTGCTGGGGTGGACGGTCAGCCGGACACACTGCTTCATCTCGGAGGCAAACCTGCGGGGCTCTCTGGACCGCTCACAGCGCTCCTTCCGGGTGCACCTGGGAAGGACAGACTGATGAGGGGCTCAGGAGAGGCTGCCTGGTCCACTGAGGAGCCTATGTGGAGGTCAGGCACTGCCAGCAGCTCCCAGGAGGTGTCCAAACTCAAGGTGCCCTTGACTGACCTTTTTGCTTCCTCCAGCCTGGTCCTCCCCCATCATGTCCACATTTGAAAAAGATGGTAATTCCAATCATCAGCTGCCGAATGCAGAAACTTGAGCGTCATCCTACTAAAGTCCCCCAAACTCCTCCTCATTCACATAAAGAGTTACAAAGTCTTGTCTATTCCACCTCCCCACTCATCCTCGGCCATGGTCGCTCTCCTCCCTCCTTAGGCAAACCAAGCCTTATTCATGCCATATATAGAACGTACCCTTTCAGACTTCCTTGCCTTTGCACATGCCAGTTCTTCTGTCTGGACTGCCCTCTCCCCACTTTTCTCCTGTCCAACTTCTACCTATCCTTCCAGACACAGTTCAACTATTACACACCTGTAATCCTGTCCCCTCCTCACCAACCATCCCCACCCCAGGCAAAGTTGAGAACACTTTGGAGTCTCCTAAAGGCTGGAGCTTCTTAGATTACATGACAATTATGGGGCTAAGTGCAGCCCTTACCTACCAAGCGTGAGCTTCTCAGAAGAAACCATGCCTGACTTCTTCTGGAATCCCCTGTAGACCTCACATCCAGCAGACAGAAGGGCAGTGTGGGTGGATGGGCAGAAGGGAAGGAAGGATGAAAAGAGCAGAGTGTCGCAGTTCAGAGCGTGCTCTGGAGCCAGTCTGCCCTGGCTCGGAATCTCTGCTCCACGGCACAGGGTAACTGCTACAGTAGGTTTGCTCTTACTGCTTAGTGTCCTGTGTTGTTCAAGGAGTTCCTTGTCACTAGTGGACCACATCCAGAGTGACCTGGGATCTTACAGTGTTAATTGACGGAGGCTTGTGAAGCATGCACATAACAACCATGGTCGTCACCCCAGTGCACGCTGGACACACAGGGGAAGGTGCTTAAGCCCTCCGCTGGGGCCAAGGCTGTCCCTGCCTTACAGCGGCAGCTCACTGCAGGGAGGTACCCGACTTCCAGGGAACAGTATTTATTCCAAGCCAGGCAAGCCCTGTGAACGCGGAGCTTCACTGAGTGGCCATGATTTGGAAGCTCTGGACTACTGGTTCTGCTGTGACTGAGGGAAAGCCTGTCCTCAGAGGGACAAGTGGAGAGACGATGGACTGCAGGCACTGAGTGGCTGAGCTCTCTCCGTTACAGAGAGTAGACTCTGCAAAGGAAGGAGGATGTCAGGGGCTGTTGCAGGACAGGAGGGAGCACTGGGCAAGGAGTTCAGTAGGAAATGGAACAGCCAGGGACATGCGACCCAGCTGGGGAGAGGGCGATTGGGAGGGAACGTCTCTCTCAAGAAGCAGACAAGCGAGGTGTGGGGCAAAATACGAGGGAAGAGAGGTGCCTAGACAGCCTGAGCTGCTCTTGGGGTGACTCTCAGGCACAGAGGAAAGCTGTGGGGGGGTCTCTCCTTCCAGCCGTGGGGAAGGAAGATACTTTTGGTCTCAATAAGAGGGACCGCCTACCAGTGGAGGGTCTGAGAGAATTTAGCAAACAAAGGAGAAATCACTGAAGGCGTGGACTAAAGAAGAAACGGAGACACAGAGACAAAAAGGATGACCTTAGAGTAGACTGGATGTGTAATGTGAAAGGAAAAACAATTCTGCATAACAGAATCACAGCTACCGTCACTGAGCGTTTATTAGGCACAGCGATAAGGGGCTTACTGTGGACATCACTTAAATCCTTCAACAGTGCCGCCAGGTAGGGACCATTTTAAATCCCACCTTTAGAGCAGGAAACTGCAGACAGGGTGGTAAGTTGCTTGCCCAAGCTCACCAGCCAACCAGAGAGAGCCAGAATTTGAACACAGATGAACTCCCGACATCTACTTTCAACCACTGTGCTCTACCTTCCCGAAGTTTCTAGGCTGAGACGCGAGAGACAGACCCTCTTGCTGCAAACTAAACCCATTTTCCTTGCCATCTTGATGTTCCTTTCATGTGTTTAGGGCAATTTAAAAACTTCCCTACAATCTTCTTCTCTAGGCTAATCACTATTTTTGGCTGCCACTGGAAAGCACTTTGAATATTACTGCAACTCATGAATCCTCCAGGAACCTTCTAGGACTTCCATCGCAAGAGCGAAAGGTCAGACAGGAGTGTGGTCATCTCCCTGGCTGCTCTAGCAGACCCATGGCAACCAGGACGTCTGCCTAAAAGTCTCGGAAGTTAATTTGCCAGGCCAGTTCTTCTGCGAGGACTTCATTACCTCCAGCCATTAAGCTAATGTTATGGACTTTTCCAGAGTGTCTGCACTGACATGGCTATTAATAGTGTTATTACTCCCATTAACAGCAGACCCAGAGAGCTGGTCTGGGCTTAAATTATTCACTGACTCCCCAACTTTGAAGTTCCTATTTCCAAGAGCAATCAGTAGGTCTGAAAATGTCTTTGATTAAATTATGAAGAGAGAAAAATGAAGCTGCTTTCAGGCCACCATCACCTGGCGTTACCAAATAGAGATCCAGATAGAAACGAGAGACCTCCATCTCTCTTCTTGGGGGTTCAAAAGAGCTTGGTTGGGGGATCTCAAGACAAGTTCTACCTATGTGGTTGCTGCTCCCAAAGTTCATGTGGTGCATCCTGCCATGGCTCCTGAGAGCCCCAAACTAACTACTCATCATCTCCCCCCAAATTTAGGTCTTATGAGGGAAGCCACCTAGAGCTTACAGTTTAAAAATCCCATCTAACCAGTAATCTTGGGCAAACTACTTAATCTCTTGATGCCTCAGTTTTCTCATCTGTAAAACGGGAACAAAAGGGTATCTACCTAATGGGGATATTACAAGGATTAAAAGATTATGCAAGTAAAGCATTTAGAACAGGGCATAGCTCATACATAATAAACTCTCAGTAAATGTTAGCTGGTATTATTGCTCCATCCCTTCTCTGCCTTCCTCATCCAAACCACAGCTGATGCAGAAGCACGTCTCCTCCCAGACTGGCCCATGGGGCAAATCAAAGACAAAAAGACAGGGGTGGCCCCAGCAGTGTCCCTCTAAATGAGGGAGGGGAGCCCCAGAGGCAGGAGGGACGAAAGAGGGGAAGAGTGAGTTGTAGCTCTGCTTTCTTACGAGTTGTCAAAGGGTATTGAGAACTCAAATCTCTCAGTGGAAAGTCAAGTTTAAGGTCAGCGTTGAGGATGATTTGACATTTCTACCATCCCTCAGGGCCCGTGAGGGCGGAGGCTCCATGGAGGCAAATGTCCAAAAGCTCAGACAAGTGACCTTAGATGTGATGGGATAATGGAGGGGGAAGAATGAATTTCTTCTGAGTTCTTGTAAGGGCTGTCAGGGTAATGGCCTTCTGCTCTTCTAGGACTGTGAGTTCTTATTAGCCCAGGCAAGAGCTAGGAAATGTGCAAAGGGTTAATTCATGACTCTTGGAGGAAGTGAGGGTGGGGGGCTCTTAGATGTTTCCTTCAACACTGGCTCCAGGTACTTCCTACCACATTTCCTGCAATTCCACTGTGCAATTGCACCCTGGAAGCGGAGGAAGATCCTGCTTCATCCATTTGCCAGGCGGGACTCAAAAAGTGTGATAAGCATAAGGACTCCAAAAGTGCATGCCATACGACTTTGAGTTTTCAAACATTTGTCCCTGCCACCACGATTGTCACTCCACCCCAAACACAGACCTGTAGATGGCCATCAGGAAGCAGACCCCAAGAAGATACCCCAGGCCCCCAGAATTGGAGTCTGGGCTGGCCAATCTCCTCTTACTTCCCTTCCTCATTCCACTTTTTCTGCCGTTCAGCCCACCAGTCCCAGTTCAGAGGTGCTCAAAGCCCTTGGGGACAAAGGCCCTGGCCCCTGGAGGGGTTATTATTCAAGTCAGTGGTTCCAATGAGATTATCCTCTCTAATGAAGCAGCTACCTCCGCCCTCCCCTAAGCCTGAACTTTCACTGCTGGAGAATTCCCAGCCAAGTGGAAAATTAGAACGGAGAGGAAGGGAGAAAGGAAGGGGGTAAGGCAGAGGGGAAGAGGTGGTGATTAAGTTCTCTAGAAATTAATTCCTAAATACAGTGATAGAAATATTAACTCCCACTGTTGCTGGCTGGTCAGGCAAATTTCATTTTGGAAATGAGGCTATCTGTGAGTCCAGCCTGGGCAAGTCTCCAGGCATGGGGGGAACCATTGCTGGTCCATCTCCCCAGGCCCTCCAGCATGGGTCCCCCAGCCTTGGATGGCAGAACTTGCTCCTTGCTTCTCCCCGCAGTAACCCCCAATCCTTAACATTTCACACTGGTCATGGCATGTGTGTTAAGTGCACCATTTGGAGAATCTGTGTTTAGAACATGAGGAAGTTGGGAAAAAAAATGGGGTAGGGGTGGGACTTCCCAAATGAACTTTACAGAAGAGTTAAGATGACTTGGAATGACCTCAAGTAGGAGATCATGGGGGGCTCTTTGGTCATTGTCTCCACATCAGGAACCCAGACGAGGGAAGAGACTGGGTTTCCTAATATCATCATCCTTGCCCTCTTCAGGAATGCCCACAGAAACGGGCAGGCGCATCTTTGCAGCTTGGAGGAAGGTGGACTAGATGGTAAAGGGAGGCTTTCCAGGTGGATGGGTGTAAGAAGTTTCTTGTATGAAGGGCAAGGACCAAGTGAGTCCTTTCAGTGTTATGATTCTAGGATCCAATGACTGACACCATGCTCTCAACCTAAGTATTTAGGTTGTTCTTGGGTAAACACCAAGACAGGGAGACCTTGATTACACTACAGTTATCCTTCTGACACCAGCTGCTGGCGACTGAACTCACCACCCTATTATCATCTCTAACGTTCCAAAGCCAACCTGAGCAGCACATGTTGGATTCACCATGCCTCTTGGGCCTCACTCAAAGGATGAGGTCACTGAAGCAGGAGGAGGGCGCAGG